AAAAAAAAAAAAAAAATTATTTAACAAATTAGTATTTTCTAATAGTTCAGTTTTGAAAAAAGAGTAGATATCTTTATTAGCAATATTTCAAAGTTTTATTATTATATATAATACAATATCAGATATTTAATATACATTATTGATCAGAAAGAAGATTTATTGATTTAAAATTTTGAACTATTTGTAATTCAGAATTATATTCTATAAAAAACTTAGTTATTAAATAATAAAAGACATTTTTAAAATAAACTAGTAATTTAATTTAAATTGTAGTCTACTTAAACAACAAGATTTGCTAGAAATATGACTAAAAAACTTTACGGATGAGAACTGAGAATTGAGAAATTACTAGCTGAAGCCAATCCTGAAATAATTTCCACTTTTTAATATATACTTTTGGTGTTTTTTTTAGAATTTAAGATAAGATAAAAACTATTCTGTAAATTATTTATGAATATTCTTTTATTCTAAATATTATTTAGCACATATTAATTTATAAAGTCATTTTAATCAAATAGACTATTAATATTTTGTAATATTTTGTTAATTTATATCCAAATTGTTTATCATAAAGTCTGCAAATATAATCTGATTGAATTTGTCTTTATCTGTTTTATTATAATCATTATAAATTTTTCAAATTAAATGTAAAAAATTTGCTGCAAATTTTTTTTATGAAAATTTACTAATATTAAATAATTTATCAAAAGCAACTTCTTCAAAATTATTTATTATAATATATGTAACATAAAGTTTACAAAAAATTCAGAATAAGTTAGTACCATTCAACTTATTAAATATAAAATTGCATCTCAGTTTTTCCATTTATATAATTTGTATTATTAGAGATATATACAAAACATTGTTATGGATTTACTTTAAAATGATCAAAAATATTATATATTGCTTAAGCAACTGATTTTTCTATACAAGTTAGTAAATCTTTCAGTTCTAATACTTGAAAATTTGGTTTATTATTTTTTGAGTTTTAGAATATAATATATAGTGAAATATCTTATACTCATCTCATGTTAATCTATTATTTATCTAACATTATTCTAAAAGTAAAAAATTTTAAAAGATTATTTTGATCAAAAATCTAATTAATATGAATTTCACTAATTTCTTTGTTTTCTCGAATAATAGATTTATATACTGTAAAATTGAACTTTTTCCAGTTAAAAAACCTAAGATTATTTATACATCTTAATAGTATTTTAAAATGACATTTTACAAATTTGTAATACTTGTATAATTGATGTTTATTTTTTATAGTAATTGCTTGTATACTTTTAAACTTTAAGATTTAGTTGATAAAGATTTATTTTTATGCTGCAACATGTACTTTTAATATACATTGACATTGTTTACATTTGTATTGTAACATTATTTCTATTATTTTTTGACTTTGTGATTTTTTTTAAAATTGGAATGTTCTAATCACATTATTTGCTTTTAAAATTCTTAATTATTTTGAATTAATAAGCCTGAATCTTGACCTACTTTATAAAGAGAAAAATTTACAAAAAAGGTAAAGTAAATTACTCTTATTTGGTCCTTTTAAATATTGCATAATATCAAATAAATGAACTGCAGGTCATCTGATAAATCTTTAATTATTTTAGTTAATTTTTGACAATATGTATTGGTTGCCACCTTTTTGTTATTAGTTTCCACTTTATCATCATTAATATCCTTCTTATTGTTATTTGGTTGTGATATTTTGATAAATTAGATTAATATTACTAATTGTCTTTTTTTGCTGTTATATATTTATGGAAACTTGGTTTGCTTTATATGATTGAATTTTTCTTTTGGAAATCTTTGGCATTTTGAATATTATAATAGTATCATGTTACAATTGACACATTTTAAAATGTTTCACCATATGATGAAAATATAGGTTTACCTTCAAATTTTTATGATAAGTCTATAAATGGTTTAAGAACAAAGTTACATTCAAATATTTCTCTTTATCATATAAAACTTTAGAGATTTGGTGCTTTATTGGTTCAAATTTTCTTTTAAGCAAATATATAAAATCATTTTTAAAACCTTTGTAAAAAAAAACATAATTACTTTGAAATGGTTCTTAAGAACAGTTTTCAACCAAAAGAAAGTTGAAAAATGTACACAATATTTGCAAGAAACTTTTAGTCTTGAGTTTTATTTCATAATAAATTATTATAAAAAAGTTTAATAAATTTTATAGTTTTGCATAGTATAAAATCTGATTATAGTAAAATAATCAATGTTGCTGCATAGTTTTGATTAATTAGGCAACGTCTCACCCTAATTTGACATGTTACGCTGTATTTTTTGAAATCTGGCTAATTACATACTCAATTTTATCCCAGCTTAATTTCGCTAAGCTCGAAACAGAATAAGATCTTACTCGTTGAATCTTATCAGAACTTATACGACGAAACAGATCATAAATTTTTCGCGCCTGCTCTATTTTCTTTCAGAGCGTAGTTTTCGTTATTCTTCGGAAGCTGATCCCTAACTTCATCGTTAACCTGTCTCTGAGCCTCGTGCTCTTCCATAGTCTTTTTGTGATGATCAAGGCGTCATGATAATGCTTCATTAAAGAAGTAATATGCGCGTATAACTTCCTGATTTGAGACTTCATGTTTATCTTCGGCATTGACGATTTTGACGTATAAAGTTAAAAAAGTCCTGGCGTTGTCTTCACTCCCTTCCTGTTGTGACCTCTTAAAGAGGTTTTCCTTTTCTCTAACCTCCGAAACTTTAGGCGAGCCAACACACAGCTCCTGTATAAGTTTTTTTCAACACAGGAGAGTCTTCATTCTTTGCCTGCTTAGCTTTCTTGTTAGAGGGAGGATTCGTAGCTTAGTTAGAGCGCTTCTTACTATTACTATCTGGCTGGACAAGTGGTACCTGGTTCCTTTGTCCTTTTAGGGTGCTCTATAGAAGCTGGGTCCACATCTACTTCATCCACATCCATGGTTGATTGCAATGATGTTACGGAAAACCTTCGCTCAGAGGCCACAGCAATCACACTTGCGTGGCAATTGTCAGCGGGACAATTGTTTTGATGAAGCAATACTTTTTCATTACACCCCTGTGAAACACATGAGCACAAGATAACACAGAAAGGATGTCTTTATCACATTGCGGACATTTCTCAAGTTCAGTAAATTCGATGTCCTTAACGATATCGTCTCCTAATTTCTTTAGGATGCTGTAAGCGAGGTTTCGAATGCTAATCAGAGACGGAAGCTATACGAAAAAAAGACTGTTAATATAGCACTTTGAAATCCGCAGGTGCCCTAGATCTCCGTCAGAAATTACGTACTGCATTTCGCGGATAAACAGTTTTTTCTTAGATGGTCATCGTAAGAGAACGGAGTAAATTTCCATATTTTTCTGCAAAAGTTTTTCCGAGTATTATACTGCGCATTTCAGGTGATGGTTTCACATGACTGACCGAGGAATGTCTTCCAACATTCAAACGATAAATCTGTTCTCCATAATGATTACCACACCCATCGACCATCTTATATTTTCGCTTCATTATATAGGGGAACAGGGCGGACATCCTCATATTATCACATTTTTGCAGATCATTTTGCCGATCATTTGTTAATTATCTATTCGATATTATCACTATTATGGGTTTTTTTGCAAATTCTGTTATACATAAAACTAAAATAATTTGAATTGATCATCTTGAGGGTCAAAATGGTCAAAATTAGCCAAAATTACATCATATAATTAGAAAAATTAAAAGTAATTTGATGATACTGCAGCAGCCAGTGATCAGAATTTAATGTTTTATGGCTTGTTGAATTCGTCAAATCAAGACGAACATTTTGATTATAAGTTCATAAATATTTACACAAAATTGATTGAGAAATGATATTTTAAAAACTTCTATTTATTATATAAATTATAACAATATGATTGCCAGTATAATTTCGGCCATAACTTTTGTGTTACCTAAAATTTTACTGTGTTACTTTGGCCATTAATTCTAAAGCTGTTAATCTATAACCCATAAAAGTTTCAAGTTTCGCCTGAACTTCTGTGGCTTCGCCCGAAGCCTTAAAGTCTGATATCACCAAATTACTATATGATCGGCAAATGATCGGCAAGGTGATATAAGGATGTCCACCCTGTTATATAGGGGGCAAGAACAGGGCGGACATCCTCATATTATCACATTATTGCCGATCATTTTGCCGATCATCTATTTTAATATTATCACATAAAAAATACCATTTTTTTGCAAATTTAACTATATAAATTTTATTTGTTATCAAAATTCATCCAAAGTCCGAAAATTAATGTTTTCAAATCCAAAAATTAACTAAAACCCAAAAATGGGCTGAATTTTAATAATAATTAGAAAATTAAATTATTTTAATGATATTGTGACAACCAGTGATTAAAATATAATTTTTGTTAGTTTTTTAGATTCATCTCGTCAAGACAAACATTTTGATAGTAATTTCATAAAATTTTTACACTAAATTGATTGAGAAATTGCATTTTGAAAATTTCTATTTATTATATAGATTATAACAAATATAATTGCAAGTATAAATTTAGCCATAACTTCTTGATTACCTAAAATTAGGAATGATTACTTCGGCCATTGATTTTAAATCAGTTAAACTATGACCCATAAAAGTTTCAAGTTTCGGCCAAACTTCTGTGACTTCGGCCGAAGCTTTAAAGTCTGATATCACCCAATTTACTATAAGATCGGCAAATGATCGGCAAGGTGATATAAGGATGTCCGCCCTGTTGGGGGCAAGGTACTGAGAAATTTATCCTTACTGGACTGTGTCTCAAGGATAGATAGGAAACCGATCACAAGTGAAATAGGGAGTTAAGTATGTCTGAGGTACAATTGCTACATCTGATAATTTTCTAGAAAAATTTTCCGGATTATCAACCTGTGTTACCAAATGGATCAAGTACGACCGAAAAATTGCGTAATTCTTTTAATATATTAAACTTCGCATACTGATACACTGATGCTGATGATTCAATGAATCACTAACTTCTATTATTACGCTATTATATCAATGATTGAAATGATTGAGGTATTTGAAGTCCATATTTTTTTGTTCTTCCTCAAGAAATTCCAAAAATGTATACTTTTCAACTGCTACAAATTCTTTTTACCAGTTTTCAACAACACCACGAAATTCAGAACTCAAATTGTCCCAAGGACTTCTTGAATCAGCAAAGAAGCGTTTACTTGGACAAAACCCTCCTGAAAAAGGAGTGGTTCTTGTCAAAAATGTCTCTTTTGAAAGTTACGTGAAGTTTTGCGAAGCTGAAAATAATCTTCCTATTAAAACACGCTTAATTAATGGAAATGTTGTAGCCTACGAGTCAGCTCTATCATCTCATGGAACGGCAGCAGGTGAGGTCTTTGGACTGATGCGTGTATGGAGCGACCAAATGACCGGTACAAATAAAGAAGATCTTATTGTGGCTCCAAATAGCTACTTTACCGCCGACTTCTCTATTCGACCAAGAAATCTCCCTCCACCTCGAGCTGGTCTGTCGTGTAATTCAGATGGGCTTCCATATCCAAATATGGTAATTGAAGTAGGTTATCGTGAGTCGCCCCGAAGCTTACATGGACTGGCGCCATTTTACCTGTCTCCGCGTACAACAATCATGATTTATCTAGCTATAAAGATATATCCTGTTCGCACTCACTATCCCGGTCGTAAGCCGATGGTCGCAATGCTATATCAAAGGTCAGGTCAAACTCCTAACATCCCGACTAGAATGATTTCATTTGGGAATGCACCACTTGATAACAGAGTAGTAAATTACTTTCTTGGTATTGGCGTTAATGTCACTGGTGTTGGGATACTTGGTGCACCCCCTTGTAATACCCCTAACATTCCAACATATCAGTTACAAATCCCTGCAGCTGAGATCTTTAATCGTACTCCATTTATCCTCCCTACTATTAATTTCGATTTGATTTGTGGGAAATCCAAGACAGAGTACTTAGACCTTAGGATAAATAAGTAAACGGGAAAATATTTCTCCAACAACTATGCAACAAAAGTAATGTGCATTATTCAAGAAATTACTTATCCAGAAGTTATATTCAAAGAATTCGTTTAATATAACCTCATTATTTCTCAAAATTCTGAATTGTATTAAATTTTAAGAATAAATAAAAATAGAGCTATTTTTGCATTAAAAATTTCTTCAGATCTTAATGTTAAGATGTCGATCAGGTTATAAGTTATTGATCAAACCTTTTGGATGCTAGACAAACGAACTCCTTAATTTTTTGGATCCTTTTAGGAATAACGATTTCCGGTTTTTCGTCGTACCATACTTCAAGAAGGGAAATTCCATTATCTTCATTATCTTGACATATGCATCGTTTTTGCCGATCACGATTAACGATATCTTCGAGTTTTTTAACATCCTTATACCAGCTAGTGCTGTCGATGCTGAGCCCCTTGCACCTCCAATGCAATTCGATATTTTTGGAGAAGGTATCAAGCCCTAATCCATTCAAGAAAGGAGGGTGGTAAGTTTCTCATTAAGAATTTCCTTAGCTATTTTGATGCACCTAGTCTGGAACTTGTGATTTTCCTTAAGCTCATCGATATCATGCCTTAATTTTGCTATCTCAGCTTTAAGCTCAATATTCACAGCATCACGCTTGACGTTCTCGACATCGGTATCTACTTTACCTTTCTCCAACTCCTCGATTCTGCTCCAAGTTCTTCTGGTTCTCGTTTTTAAGGTCAAGAATTTCTTTCTCATATAGAGTAACACGCCCTCTCCACCTCCAAGTCCTGTCCCTGCAAGAACGAGATAAGTTCAGTCGTTTTATACTTTTTAATTTCGTCCGCCAACGTAAGCGCGTCTTTTCCAGTGGCAGTAGCGGAAGTAGAAGTGTATTAGCTTCGGACATAATGCTTTATAGGGATATTTGGCTCGGATAAAAAAATGCGTTACGTTCGGAGTGTTTGACCGATGTGGAATAAAAAATTTACCCCAGTATCACCGACACTTTTATAATTAAAATTCCACCCCCACGTGACCGGTGACATTTAATGGGATGTGAAAAAAATAATTTTGCGAGGCAAAAAAAAACTAAGTCCCTCAGATAAATATAAACAGTGAAAACGCGGTGGGGTGTGATGCCGGTGATGAATATTACAAAATCACGTGGGGGTGGAAAAAGTGTCGGTGATACTGGGTAAGATGGAATAAAAATGTACGGCGGGCTGATTTTATGTCGCACAGAGAAGCAAATGTATCGTTCTTGTGCTATTTTCTTCTACCACCTTACTGTAAAAATATATTATGCGGTGAAGATCGACATGCATATGGTAGAAGAAGATACAGAGAAGGCGGTGATTTTCACTAATACGTAATCACACGTGACACGTATCGCAAGAACAGTGTCAATGCTTTATTTAATATAATATATCATTGCCGGAAGTCGGCTTACAGTACATAAAAAATGCGAGCATATCGCGTTACAAGGTATATAAATTATATGCATCCTCCTCTATAATAACGTGGTAAGGTTCCGCGTTAGGACTGTCGCCGAAATATTGGGAAATCGGATCCCTTGTCGCATAACTCTGTATTCTGTGAGCGTAAAACGAAGTGCGCGAAGAAAAAATGAAATATTTCCGTATGAGTGTGGTAACAGTTGCTGAATCTGAGAGTGAAGATTATCGACCGAATCTTCGTTGGAGATTGTAATAGTTCCTTCTGCAACGCTGCGCGGAGTTCCAATAAAGCGCCCAGTAAGGTATGTGAAAGTGATAATAGCCATTTTTTGATTTCCTGAAACGAGAACCACCGCGGGCAGTGAGAAATTAATTCACTCATTCGCACGAAAGCATAACTTCTGGCATACACGCACCTTGATTTTTAAGCACGCCCGTACAATAACATACAAATAATATAATTATTTTAATTAATTAGGATATATAAGCCACATATATTTTACAAGGTAATTTAAATATTAAAAATATTTTTATGTAAATAAATAAGAAATAAAAAATTTTATTAAAAGTCTAATACCCGACAACCCGACATGTTTACGGTAAATGACCAATGTGGAAAAATATTAAAGTCATGTGATTAAAGTAAACATTATATAAAAAAATTCATTTTCGAACCAAACCAAATAAGAAATACAACTTTTTCTTAAAATACAAGTTTTTTTTTTTAAAGAATTTTAATTCGTTTTTAAATAAATTACAATTTTACTTTTTTAATAATTCTGCTATTTTATTCCAAACTTCGATTACAATATATGGTAAAATTATATTACAATTACGGTAAAAATTTGTTAAAAAACACATTTTTTCTTTATGCATATACACAGAAAATTAGCTCATTATTATTTGAAAAAAAAAAAAAATATTTTTTTTTTTAATTACCTTTTTACTATTGCTTATTAAAGGAATAACTAACGAAAAAGGTGTATTAATTATAATTCGTGTTTAAAAAAGTATATATTATCCATATTATTATATTTCATATTGAAATTATGTAATATCAACTCTGCAATCTGTATGAATGATTTATCAAAACAAACTGTAAGAAATTATTTTTTTTTTCTCCTTTAAATGCAAATTTATTTTTTTTATACGATTATGTAATTTAAAGTTTAAAAGATCTTCTGTATGGTACCATCGAAAATGAGCACGAATAAATTAATTTCATTTCAAAAAAAATAATAAAACATGGATAATAACCGATAACGATATATTGAAGCATGAATAAGTAAGAAATAAAGACAATGGATTATGACCAAAATTGGTTTAAAATATGACGGTAAAAAAAGAAAAAATAAAAAAAAAAATAAAAAACAAATTTGAATAACTTTTGACTATAACTCTGTTTTGTTACTTTATTGAGATAAAAATAATTTATTTTACCCAACCAAAAAATTTTCCTGTTATGAATCAAAATTATTACAATTTACAAGAGATCCAAGTAAAAGAACCTTCTTAGTATAGAGAATCCGGAGTTGTTACCTATGATTAAGAACTTAGTCGAAAGTGTTTTTGAATTAAAAGGTTTAAGATAAATTCGGTTAAACATTTTACCCTTTTTTTAGGGGTTCTAGATCTCTTATCAATGTCAATGAAGATTGATTTGGGGTGTAACTTGTAAAATTTTATACACAACAGATATTTATACTCCGCCCTATACTTATATACTTTGACAATATGTAGGTTTTTACAATTTTACCGAATATATATGTCAGTTATTTATGTGAGTTTGATTTTTTTTTTATTGTAATACCTTTATTGCTATATGCAATAAAGAAACTTATACTTACATAAATCTGATGTATATATTCTATATATTCGGTAAAAATCTTTGTTATGTTCAAACAATATAAAAACCGACTAAAATCGAACTCGAAAAAAATTCACTTTAAAATATTAAAATTTCGTACATATTGCAATAACGTTAATAACGCAATTTCTGATCAGCAACTCATGATGTCAAACACTATCTCCAATCAGCAACCCAATGTCTCTTCGCTTAATCATGATCAGCAATACCAGCAGCCCACATCTATTCGCCAGCAGCAATATGATGCCAACTATGCAAACTATGCTAACTATGCTAACTATCAACAATGTAATAATCAAAAATCCTCCATTTCTAACTACTATAGCAATAACGACATTATCTCCCCCGATCAGCAACTCAATGCTGCATCACCTAATCATAATCAGCAATATCAGCAGCCCAATGTCCCTTCACCTAATCACCAGCAGCAATATGATAATGCCATTTCTAACTATAGCGATAACATAACTAACTCTCCTGATAAGCAACCCAATGTTTCTTCACCTAGTCATAATCAGCAATATCATCAACATAGTGTTGCTTCACCTAATCATCAGCAGCAATATGATGCTAGCTACCAACAATACATTTATCAAACCGCCATCTCTAACAACACTGATTCTATCATTCCTGGTCATAATCACCATCAACAACCCAGCAATAATAATAATCCCGATTCAAACAATACTAATCACAACAATAATCAGCAATCTTCGTCTGCTGATATACCTCCTTTGTCGCTTAACATTACCATTAATTCTCCTCAGACAAATTTTATTATTATACCTAGTTCGGATATGATTCAGCAAGTACTTGCTTGTTTGAATAATTCTTCTTCAGGATTTCAACGGTAAAATTTTGTATAACCATGTAATATTCTATTCTTTATTTATTCTTTATTTCTTTATATTCTGACATAATTAGTAGTTGTTACAGTAGAAATATTTAGTGAAAATAAACTGTATAATCATTTTATCTTATTTCTTACATTATTTAAATAAAATATTATTTAATTTAAAAGAACTATATATTTAATTATCCGTAACAAAAAAATCCTTTCTAATAAGGAGATAAGTCTAAAAAAAATTAAATATCCGAAAGAAAATTTCCACAATCTCATAATTTTTATTTTAGTTTATTTATTTTATTTCATGTCATCAATCTTCGCTTCTTATAAAAACATAATATTAGCGTAAATTGTGAATTATGAATAATAATAATAATAATATTTGTAATAAATCTGTTCATAAAAAAAATGTACAACATCCACTTTTAATTAATTTCGGCGAGAATCAAGATGGTGATGGTTTCGATGAATTCATTCTCGATACTTTTCGTTTTGTTGGTGGTAGAAGATATCATAATGTCTCCAGTTCAAAATATTTTCTACCGAATGATTTACCTGAAATGGATCGTTTAGAAAAACAACATTATCTTTTTCGTCATATTTGGAGAAATAATTTTTCTGCTCCTGTGCGTGAAAAATTATCACAAAAAGAAAATCATCCTTGCGTTCTTGATGTTGGGTAAGATATATAATGTATAAACTTTCTTTATATAATCACATGCATGGTCTTTTCTAAATACCTGTACCATTACTGGTTAGATGTGGACCCGGAACTTGGATTTATATTCATTCGACTTTAAATAAATAGGAATAAATATTGAAACCTTTTTGTAACAATTTAGATAATTTATGAATGAAATATTAAAGTTATTTAACCATGAGAATTTCAAATTCAACGTGCTTCGATATAAATTCTTGTAATAATTATTATTCGAAATTTAAAATATCAATTTATATCACGTGATACGTTAAACTTGCAATTTTATTGGCTAGATTTATATAGTTTAAATTATAATTCTTTAATTCTGGACATACTTATATATAATTTTAGCTAGATTTATATAGATAAAAGAAGTTACACATAATTTTAGTCAGAATAAAGTGGCCAAATAATTAATTTAATAGTAAAATATTTTATTAAAAAATATTTTATAGAAATTTAAAACTATAGCTTTATTAAGCTTGTTTTATTTTATCATTGTATGGTTATACTTTATATTTATCATTTTTTTTGAGTAGGTAGTAGTGATTTGAATTTTATTAATCTTAGTTGTTATGACTAAGTTGTATATATAGTGATAATAAATAGTATACAGTATATAAGTTTATTCAATACTATAAGTTTATAATCAGTAAAATATCTAAAATTGAATTATATTATGGTTATATTACTTATATGATAAATAATAGATTTAACTATTAACTATTATAAATGTAGTGTTAATTTTTTTTACCTTAATATATCAATATATCAGTCTGAATCATATTATTTACAAAGGATTCTTTTTTTATTTAAATATTAAACTCTCATCAATTTCTCTTTTTTTTTATCAATCAATTTAATCAATTATAAACTCCTTGATTTTTATCAATTAATTTAATTAATTATAAACTTTTTAATTTTTAAATTTTTAATTATCAATATTTTTTTACCAATTTCAAATATGAGCACATTTGAAGATTTTATTGATTAAAATAGTAATCTTGTGAACTGTATTTTAATTTGTAAATTATAATATTAATAATTAATCCAATTCTTTCAATCTTTCTAGCTCTTATTTCCTATTTATCAGATAATAAGGGAAGTTACATATACAGTCAACTCTCCTTATAGTCACACATTTAGGACAGTCCATATTTGATGATTATTTTACAAGTGTATTGTACGTTCAGTGGCCACTACTTTCTGCACCCTTTATTGAAGGTTATGGAGGTAGGTCGTTCGTATCCTCGCCATCCTTGAACCACCAGTTGTCATCAAGGCCACCTTTTAACCAAGACAACTTATCCAGCACGTCCATTAATCAGGCATACCCCAGGGACCCGAAGGCCTTTGGATCAGAAGAACACCACCCTACTCGTCCTTTAATCCGTTGCATGATACTGTAATGGCTACTATTATAAACCCCTCACCACTACTACTGTCACAGAGGACTTTCGTCAGATAACCTTCAAACATCTAGACCCCTTCCATACCATCATATTAGGTAACAGGTCTCACTCAAAGGCCACTACAGCCCACGATTACTCACCACCGATAGTACAGTTGTAATCCCCAAGTGGTATACTTTGTAGTGACCACCTGGACAGTAAGCTTGTAGGTGTTACCCAGGATCATCCCTTATGGTGGGTATCAACCACCAGGAATCACCAACCAGGGCCCATCAGAGAAGGGAATCGAACCCAATCACCAAGCTATCTGTCTGTGCACGAACACCTTGGTTGGTCTATGACCTAACAGAAGGTCAAACTACCACTAAGACATTGCACCCTCAGCTTTACCATCTAGGACGACCATCTAGCCATTACTGACCCCAAGTGGTATCGTAGAGTGACCACCTGGACAGGAAGACCCCCCCAAGGTATAGTAGTGACCTCAAGAACAGGACTGCGCACATGCCAATGGCCTCATAGGGAACGTTAGAAGGACACCATGACCCTTAGTTGAAATGTGCGGCCTAACCGTACACACTAATTCACCATGATGCAGTCCAACTACACTAATCCCTGTACCTTCACGCTATTGGTTGTAGCGTCTGCAGTAAAATTCTTTTTATTTCCGTGGTCATGGGAATCGAACCTGCGACCTCACCATACTCAGGCTTAATGAAGGTCTCAGTGACTAACCACTGAGATAGGGTGACCAACCCTATATATTTGATGATTATAAAGAGATGTGACTATATAAAAAATTTCTTATATTTGTATATCATAATTCCGGCCAAAAATTAACATAATTTTAGCCAGAATTATACTTAAAACTTTATTGTATCGTAACTTCGCCAATATTAATCGTAGAGAGATGATCTTACAACCATTCGATTCGTCTTGATGAGACGGTTCTAATGGTATAAAATACGTTGAAATCCAATCACTAGATTAATTTCTGAAATTAAAAAATATTAATGGTTTTTGTGTAATAACTCTGTCAATATTGATCCTAGAAAGACGATCTTACTACCATTCGATTCGTCTTAATGAGAAAAATCTAATGGTATAAAATACAACGAAATCAAATAACTAGATCAATTTCCGAAATTAAAAAATATTAAATGGTTTTTAAGTAATAACTCCGTCAATATTGATCACAGAGAGATGAGCTTACTACCATTCGATTCGTCTTGATGAGGCGATTCCAACGAGCTATAAATCATCTTTTTATAATTACTAGGTACCGAGAAATCTAGCAAAATGTTAAATGGCACAGTAAACGTAAATCAGGAAATATTATAATGCTGATGTTTAACATTTTGTTGAATAACTCGTCAGCCATGCCAGTGATCGGAAAAGTATAAAATACCACCATTCGATTCGTCTCAGTGAGACGATTCTAACAAGCTATGATACATCTTTGTACGATTATTAGATGCCAAGTTATTTAATATATTTTTTATATAACTGTGATTATAAAAGGTTCTTTTTAATATAAGATTTTTGAGGATAGATGTGATAGTGATTATAGATAGATTGTGACTATATAGGATAGATTTTAATAATAAAGTATTTTGAACATTTAACTGGTGTGACTATATAGTAGAATGTGACTATAATGGAAGTGACTATAGAGGGAGTTAACTGTATTACGTAATATTCAGTTTAATATAAACTTACTTCCCCCTCTTGTCAGATTTAATAACCAATCAAATTATAATATTTATAAATTATATATTTTATTAAGTGTAATGTAAGATTTTGGTTACCCCCTCCCCCTATTAATAATTATATAATATCTGTAAGCTCCCTAATAGGATAATAAAATTATTATTTGTTTTTTGAGAAAAGGAAAACATTTTTCTGATTTAAAAAATAAGGTGTGTTTTTTTTATTTTGCAAAGTTAGGGTAATCCCTAAAGTTAATTGGAACTTAACTTAGGGAATTTACTGAATTTGACAAGTCTTGGTAATCATTCCAAGTTTCTCGGTTCAGGTGTCCTAACTTTGTAGTTGATATACTTTACAGAAACTAATAAATTTGAAACGACTAAGCCACAAATGTGCTACAATTTCGCCACCTATTTGTGGCGGTAAAATCACAACAATTACATTACTTTTTACTTAACGTAACTGCAGCAGTTCGTATCAAACGGTTAGGTAGAGTACTGGTAGAGTATACATTAAGTAGTCCATATCGGCTAACTATCAAAATTGGGCCTAATTTTATATAGTAATTTTGATCAACGTTACACAGTTACAATTAGTAAAAAAAAAAATTTTCATGATCAAATTTAGCGAACGCACCCTTAAAAAAAAAATAACATATTAAAAAACGCGTCTAACCGATGAGCGCAGTCTAAAACCGATGAGTTTGAGTAGTGGAAGACAAGTAGAAGGCAATTGGCATCTCGCAATTTCGAATGTTACCAGTTATTAGTTGTAAATAAAATTAGTTTTTGCAAAACTATTTTTTATTTTTATTAAAATATTTTATATTTTTTTCAGATTCAATTACTAATATGTCAACACTTACAACGTCTTTTACTACTTCTGCATCAGAATTTATCTGTCCTACTTGTCAAAAAAGATATAAGAAACAAGGTGGACTTTCACGGCATTTGAGTATTGTGAAAAGATATAATATTTCACATAGTGATTTGGATAAATTACCAGAAACAAATAATGAAAAATTCAAAAGTATTCTAGTTTATTTAATTCACCGCAAACTTACACATGGATTTAAAAAGGGAGGTCGTCAATTAGTGTCGCTTGCATGTACTGAACATCAGTTTTTTGATATTTTCAAAGGGTATATCCATCATCATAGCAATAGAAATGTCTACAAGTGTATTTTCTGAGGATCTGCTGGATATCAAATATTAAGTGAAATCTTGAATAATCCATTGTGGGGTCGAAAATTTTATGATGAAGAACAACAAACTTATGTTGTTTTATTTAATGATCCACCTGAGCATTTGAAAAATAATCCACTGGCTATTGCAACTCGTTGTGCTACTGAAAGTATAGCCACTCATAGACGCAAATCTAGATATAATCCTGGAGAAGTTATTATTGAATGGAAAATTAAAGGTGAAAAAGATGCAAAAGAGAATTATTGTGAAGCAGGATTTATATACATACATTTTTGGGTGAGACAAATCTAAAATTTTATTGTAATAGAAAAAAAAATTATATACATATGTTTAGAATTTTTTCTTTTAATTAAAGACAATTTTTTCAATGTATATAAAATGTATTAAAAGAAATTATAAAATGTGAATATATTGAGGTTTTGGATAGGAAAGAGAGATGTTATTTTGAGTATAAAATAAAAGTCGGTTTTCATGTTCCAAAATTTCACAAATTGCTGATGTTTTATTTTGAAATTTTCCGCCATTCTTGAGAGTTTTCTTAAAAAAATAACAGACATGATCGTGATTCTTTTTTTCAACAGCACTACACGAAAATGCGTTTAATCCCCACCTTTTATGGATAAGCATAAATTCCCAAACATGTGATACTAAAACATGTATATAAGGGGTTATATCTGATGATCGATAAAGTCCTTGTTCTAAAATAGTATTAGTTTTGGAATCTATTACCGTTTTTTTCAAAAATAATTCACACCATACTTTTGCTTTTAAACGAAAATATTGTGGATCTGTTGTTTTTTCTCCTAAAAGATCATATAATTCAGCAAATCCATCCCACAAACTTTTAATTAATGCGGCTCGTTCTGGATCAAAAAGTTTTGTCAAATTAAAGTTTCGAAGAACACAAAGCTTATCATCACCCATTAAGGAAGTGTAATTCCAATTATTAGTACCATGAATATTCCAAAACTCAAACCTGATTTTTAAATTTTCCATCTCCTTAATTATAATATTCCGAGTTATGTCATTAAATAATCCCTCATTTTTGATTTCTTGTAAAACTAACTCCCATAAACGGTCAGTAATACGTAACATTATATGAAGTTTATCTGGAACATGATTTTTAAGTGAAATCATATTGAAAAGTGGAGGTAATTTATGACCAGGGTATGCTGTTGGATTTTCATTTAAACTACTCATTGATTTACTAATTGTCCAGTCATTTTGCCCATTTCCGCGTTGATTTTTTGTTATTTCACACCATGGGCAAAAATTATTGGAATTTGCAGCATTAAAACCTAAACAGGTAGCGAGAAATTTCCAATCTGAGCTAAAAAAAAACTCAAAATTCCAAAGAGTATTATTGATAACTATTCCTACATTACTCAGTTCTTGCAATTCCTGAGTAAGAGCATTTGCTGCAACTTTTAGAGTTGGATAATTTTCACTTCCCGGAAATAAGATAGTTGTATAATGGTAATTGGGCTTACAAATGTTTATTGAATCATCCAATAGTGCTATGGTAATCATCACATGCTTCACCTTTCATCCTACGTTCCGCCCATCACCAGATATTCGAAGATGAATAGTTGGTATTGCAGGATCTAATATTCCCTTTTCAACATATGATGGTATTATACACTCAAGAATTTTTTTAACACTTCGGTAAGCACCTTTTCCAGTTGCATTAATAACTTGTTCAATAATTAATGGATCAGTTATATCAGGTTCTTCCGAAAATCCTTCTTGCATAATGGTAGAATTTAAATCAATGAAATTAATGGGTATTAATTCTTCCATATATGCATTAATCTCTTGACGGGTTTGAGAAATAGCATATTCTCGTGGTAATATTGATTCTACAGCTGCAAGATGACGATATGCATCACGAGGTATATTTTCTACGTCTTGTACATATGCAATTGATTGCAATTTTTGTTTTTTTTTAACATAATTCTCATCACCAAATGTTACATGGTATTCTTTATTTTCTACAGTAAAATCTATAGCCTTTAAAACTACACGATCTTTGGGATTGTAAAAATCTTTAATTGTATTTTCAAAGTGCACCTGTTCTTTTTTTGCAAGACCTTTTGCACGTTTAATTTGTGTAGTTTTGCTTGATTCTTTATGAAGTTTCAATTCACGTGGTCTACCTTTGCGATTTCTATTAATGCATTTTAATTGAAGTCCAAAAAGATGAACTCCAGAAACAGCAGTTCTCCTATCCGGTGTTATAATCTAATAAAGTATGTATATATTAGAATACCTTCTTTTATGATTTTTTTTAAAATTTTCTAAATAATAAACATATAATAACTTACTTTGTGTAGTTCAACAGAAGCATCAAATGGTGATTGAGCTGAAAAAACTTGATATTGTAAATTATCTCCAAAACAAATTAAGTAATGAGGTTTTTCTTCTACATAGTAAATAGAACATTGAATAGTACGGCTGTTATTAGCCCGACCCCAGGTAGTTTTAATAGTATAATTATCAGGTATAGGAAAATAATTAGGCGCTTCAGTATAATTCACAGCCGGTGGGTAGATACCTTCTTGAATGACAATATAAACAAATTTTCGGTCACCATAGTATATTATTTCAGGTGAAATAGGGTAATTTTCTTCTTCATAAGGTCTTTGCTGATTAGAATTTGACATTTAGAAAGTAACAGTTTTTTTGACGCGTTAAAAAAAATTAACATGATATAAAAAATTGTACAACGGATCTACAAAAATGTGATAAGTACGGTAATTAAAATTCAGTACGAGTCTCAATATCATATTTCTTTACTGCTATAAGAGAAAAATCGAAACAATATATAAAAAATTTTGTGTCATTGGTGTTACCATAATGTCAGGTGATTTGACTATCATTATGATTGGTTTACAAAATTTGGGGTTATCTCAAAAATTTAGGGTTAGGGTATAGATTAGCGCATATGCATAGCAAATTAAAGTTATAATTAGGTAGAGATTACGCAGAAACCACATTACAATTAAGCAATAATTTATAAACATAATTGTCACAATATAACAATAAAATCAAATATTATATTAAACGCATTACTATATATCTATACTAAAGTTCTTATACAAAAAGTAAAATTTTAGTCTAACGGCATTTTCATTTGCCCTTTGCTCATTCGTTAAAGTAAATAATTTAAATAAAAAAATAACTTTCATCTAAACATCTAAAGAACCAAAAATCTATCTAAAAAAAATAAAAAATGAAATTGTTAGTGTAATTAAAAAGTTTAAGCAAATAAATGGTTCATTAAAGAATAATTAAAAACTGTTAATATCCTACCATATTTCCACGCATTCAAATAGTCAAAAAGCCAAGCTGTCTACAAAAAAATAAATGCAACGTTAGTAATCATTTCATTAAAAGGACTAAAAAACAACCTCCTCTTTCTTACCGAGTTTCACATGTCCAAATATTCCAAGAAGAACTGACTGTTTACAAAAAAGAATAAATGAAATATTAGTGAATGTTTCGTTAAAATAGATTAAAAAATTTCAGCTTTCTACCAAAATTCACGCATCCAGAAAAATTGGCTGTCTAAAAAAAAGAATAAAAAATGAAATGTAACTTTCGGTAAATGTTAAAATAAAAAATTCAAGAAAGATTGCTGAAATACCCACTAAAATTCCATGATTGTACGTATCCTAGTATCCAAAAAACTGGTCACCTATAAAATAAAAAAATATAACGAAACATTAGTAAGTTTCATCAAAATAAAAGATAAAAAAGAAACTCACCAAGGAATATGCTCCAGAAAATTAAACAAAAAATCCAGGTTTTGAACGTCTAAAAAGAATGAATAAAATGTTAAAAAATATTTTATTGAAAGAAATATATTAATTAAATCCTTTCCCACATGTCCAAAAAAATTCAATACCTACCTAAGAGAGCACCATTCACGTATTTAAAGTGCCGAAGACCCGCTAAAGAGAATAAAATGAAATAATCGTCAGATTACTTTTGGAACTTGTCACTGGTCAGAATAGTCCATTTCGTCCAAATTTCAAATTGACAAATGTTGGACGAAAGTTGATCTAATTTTGGCCGATCATTGCCAAAAAAATCATCAAAATTATTATGGACGATTTGCACAGTTCGCCTGCCACTTGGCAATCACAAATCGGCAAAAATTCATTAAAAAATTGGAAATAAACTATTCGTCAACCTTTTACTAAACATTCATCCAAATTTCAAATTGCCAAATGTTAGACGAAATTAAGTTTAATTTTGTCTAATTGTTAATGATTTTTATGTATTTAGCTTATTTTTAATTTTGTAATAACAATCAATTAATTATATTTTGCTTTATTAATAAAATTACACATTAAAAATTATCATATTAAATAACTAATATCTACAGTATCTGTCTATTTACACCTACTATCCACCATCCACCATCTACCATTCACCATTCACCATTCACCATTAACCATCCACCATCCATTGTCAACCATCGTCAACCACCATCAACCATCGTCTACATCTCATCTACTACCCATCATCCACCATCCAACAACTTATTCAGCAATCTGACAAAAATCCGAAAGAGAAATCTACAAAAAAAAATAAAGAAACAGTTAGTAAACTGTTATTATTTCAATAAAAAAAATTAAGTTTCAAAATATATTTCGAAACTTACCCAACCAAAAATCTGAAGTGGAAACCCGCAAAAAAAAAGAAGAAACAATTAGTTAAAGTTTCTTCGATAAAAAAAAAAAATATGCTTCAAAATATGAAACTTACCCGATCCATTCAATATAAGTTC